CTGGTTTTCTAGGAAGATCATCTATAACCATCTTGCATAGTTCAGTTTAGAATAATACCATTAAAATATTGTTAGACATTCTTCACGCTGCATACTAGCTCGATTCGCTACGAAGCAAAATATTCGCATCAGATTTTTTTGGGGGTTATTTTGTGACAAGGTTTCGTCATAGGTTAGTTTCCTCTAGAAATAGCCTGGTAATGCGGTAATGAAGTGATTTGAATAGAACTAACCGATTACTTATAGAGTGTGATAGATTGTCTTTAGCTCGAGTGGACAGTCAACACATAAGCACGGGAGTACTAATGCAAAATATTAGATGGCAAAGTCACAGCGGTGGAATATTCAAACACGGAAGTAAAAGAACGTTATTAATTTGTTAAAGAGGCTTGCCGTGTATATGCAGCAAGCGTACCGAACGAATGAAACATTGCAATGGTCTATATGAAACAAGGCTCAAATGATGGGAGAATTGTAACAAGCATCAGTTCGGATTTAAACCGAGCAGATCTTAGCTCACATTGGAAGGAAGTAGCACCATGGTCTTACGTCTGATTCATGTATGTAATGCGGGGCATACGTTTGCAAAAGGGTAAGCCAGTGTTTGGACAAGAAACAAACTCACAGATTCACGGAGCTTGATGTTAACGCCACGCACCTACATCAACCTTAAAGGATCACCAGAATTCTAACAATGTTTATAATAAAAGCATAATTCAAATAAAGCACCTATTACCTACTTTGGTACATCATCTCTATGCTTGAATGGAGTTTCATCTTCATACGAACGTCACGTTCAGGTGTCCTGGTCTCGAGACGTAATTACGCCTGTGCACGAAGGCAAGAGCGCACTAAGTGTTCGGCGGTTACAGCTCTCACGTGGTTTACCGTTTTATTCATTCGAGCTATATCCCTCTAGCTTAAGCTGTGTAGTCTTTCCAGGGTTTCTCTCCAGGGCCGCCAGCGTACGCAAGTCTCCACTCGCCACAAGCGTCTTCTTAGCGCTACATGCCAGAGAAGACGCCTCTATCGATTTATTCTATAGTCGAGCAACAATATCTGTTGGTTCTGCTGCAGGCTGTGTGACGCGGTCTCGACCCAAAGTTGCGTTACTCGTTGGACTTGTCTGCGTAGTCCAGACCCTCTTTATACCTCCAACAATCCTGTCACAACACTTGCTGTATCGCGGCGATAAACCTATCAGATTGTCACAGGGTCAGCTGGGCGTAATAATGGGTTCGGCCACAATTGTTACCGTTATGGTTTAGACGATCATCGGAAGACTGCTTTTGGCATCTGATTCTGACAAAACGACAATTAGATTCGGATTGTCTATCAACCTATTGCCAAAGCCGGCATAAATGCGCTGCACGAACGTAGTGAGCTTTATTTGTTTGCCTTGATTTGTATTCGGCTATCTCGCAAAGCAGGTGTCTGATACAAGGATCCTAGTGCTGTACTGCCTGCAAGGATCGTAGCATCGATTTCCATCTCTATCGTATTTAACAAGTTGGTAGATCTATAGCGGATATGTATTTGCCAATTTATTCGGGGATATGCGACGAATCACATGTTTCTGCCCTACTACTTTTTTTTACACATCAGTATCAGGGAGGATACAATCATCCTCGAGTTTACGCTATTGTTTCCTGCATATTTAATCTAGCTGCCCACCTTGGGAATGGGGTAGGTCAGCTGATAAGTGAGTTCCTGTTGGATGCTGTATTTAGCACCGGAGGCTGACATAGTTCGGCTGACCGTTATTTTAGCTGTTGTTTACGCACCGATTATGTTTTTTATTTGCCATCGATAACTTCATGTAAATTATATTAGCCATTAATATATTTTTTGACAGTGCTATACATATTTTGCGTGTCGTATCAAGAATGTTACAGAGTTTGAATAAAAATATTAGAAAACTTTCCAGCGTTGAATATTACTACCATTTGAACTAGCTAGTTAGTTAATCTTAATTAATCTTATTTGATTAGCTTAGCCAGAAAGTAATTTTGGCAATTTTGGAACTTTGTTTACAGGACATTCGACCTGCACGCTTGCCGGAGCTTTCTACAATTGTTGCATTGTTTATGTTTTGGATCCGTTTGTTTTTAGTAGTTTTTTATACGATGAAATCACACAACCGAAAAAGTTTGTATCCTATACGTCCTTGCGCCTTGAAAAAAATGCATCTAAGACAACAACGAGGATTGTGTAAGAGTTTAAAGGCTGAGCAACTCGCGAGAACTTATAATACTTGAAGACTCGAAAAAGGTTCCCCCCTCCCAAATATTGTGAAATAGCGATGCAAACTCCGCTTTAATTCAGCTCATCAGATTGAATTAAAAAAAGATAATGTAAAGGCCCAGCCAAGGCAAAGGACAGGGCTGGGCTTTTATGGCTTCGGCGGTCCAGAGAGTTTGGCAAACCAAATAAATGATACTTTTCGTTCTTAGAGCTCTCGCACTCTTCTAGCGGGTTACAAGTATTTGGCTCTATTTATATATCTATATATCTAGAAAACAAGCTATCCAAAACAAGAGGCAGGAGCCCGAAAATGAGCCTATGAACTGATCACTTCTTTAAATTTTTTATATTATCATAGAGATCCGTCTACTGTCCAAATGCTAAAAAGGGCTGCGGAAATTCAAACAAGTTATTTTAAGAAACAAGATTAGCTTCTTCCAGAAGTTAATACTATGTGAATTGAGAGGAAAAACGAAATTATTTTTTGGCAGATCTATTGTTTATAGAAGATACGTTTATCGCACAATATGCTCGCTTTGTGTTAGCTTATATACATATAGTGTTTGTCGAGGAATTTTACAAAATGTTTATCCATGTTGAGATAATTTAGCGATGTGATTCATAAGCTATCCACTGTGTAAATCATTTAGCCTGTAACAGATTTGTTTTTCAAATATATTGCATGTGTACCTCTTCAAGGCCAAGTAGATTACATAAAAAAAATAGAAAATAGATATAGCAATAGAATAATCTATTGATCATATACACAATGATAATATATTTATCAAGTGATGTAGCTATAGTACAAAAAAATACATCAAGTAATATAATATATAAACTAGAGTATTCTCTTCAATTACATTTTCTATTCTAAGCAAATGAAAACTTAGAAAGGCTAGGTTGTTTTACTCAAAAGAGTACTAACGTGTACTCTTAGCATGAATGTTAAACCGCCAAAGATTATGTGAGTATATCTCATCGAATATTAACAACAGAAAGCAATTCGTCAGGGTAGTTTGCTATTGAACTTTGGTAGAATTTGTAATGGTTGCTACGAAATATAGATCAAGTGTCATATTTGTATAGGGATGCAACTAACAATTTCAGCTTTCCAGCATCACTTGATTGGTCCTACTATGGGTAACGGAACTTTTGTTTTGTATCAGTACAGGAAAACCAAAAGGAAGGCGAAGGGCACGCGACAGATGTCACTTTCGTAATGTATTATTATAGTTGTTGGCCTTGAAGTAGATCGATAGAGTCTGCGGCTGAATTTCAAGTTTCGGTGAATCGCATATGTGATGCAAAGCACTATTCATTGTGTTTAAAAAGAGTCCAATCTTATAATAAAAGCATTTATTGTTTATACATTTTTAATAGTATTTGATCATAAATGTTTACCTTTGCGTATTTGTCTTCTAAGTTGGTTACGGTGATTGTAGACGTTTGTGGTATTTCGAATAAGTCGTCAAGGCAAGGGGTATTCGATTCACGTACTAAGCGATTTAATAAACAGCGTTATTATAGGTTCAATTTATCGTTGGCTAGTGTACGATATATACACTTTCCGAAAACATGCTACGTACGGGGGAGTTTCTAAACGGTGAGAGCGCAGCTTAGATCTAAGATGGTTGGACCGGAGTTCCGATAACGTGAAGTGAGATGGGCGATAACGGTTAGGTCAGCTATAACATTTGAATATGTAATGTGGATTTAATCGCAGTCACTACTTTGGTAAGAGGAAAAAAGTGAATGCTAACGCATTCCGCTAATAGAAGAAGATATCAAACCGAATAGACTTCTTACGTTCACGTTAGGATTGCCTCAGCTACTTGAGAGATTTTGGAGTACTAGGTAATGTGCCGATGCTCTAATCTCACCTATGAAAAAAAAACCCAATAATTTTCAAAAAACTCTTTATATGATATCCATAAATATTTTCTCTTACGACTCGCCACTTTGATAAACCGAGTTTTATCTCTGTTATCTTTGCTCCGGTCAGCTCACTTTAGAATCGACCCAACGAATTTATCACGTCGAGAGGCCTGTCATAGGCAGACCAAAATTTGGACACAACATAGGACGCAACAAAGAATGCGTCCATTCACTAGATACGTTGTATCGAGTTTCAGAACTCTAACTAAAAAAAGTATCCGGAGAAAGCTTAAACCAACAGCAAAAAACGATGTGCTAAGTGTCATCATAACGCATAGCGCCAGAACGCCGTTCTCTACCGCCGACCCAAGATGGAAGAGTCGTATAGGATTTGAGAAATATATAGGCTGCGTTATGGCACTGTCGGAATCATATTTCAAGCAATTATTTCGTTAGTCAATAATATTTCGTTAGTCCGGGAAATCATAATGTGAGAGGTAATAGCCAACCTCGAACGATGTCTTCTTGTGAAGTATCAGATTCGAAATCTATCGAAAGAAGTAAAATAAAGGCAATTAGTAGAGACACGATTTTATTATCCGAAAAAACTTGTTCTAGTGGAGAGATGCCACGACATTACAGAAGGAATACTCACACCTAGAAACAACGATTACGAGTTGTGTTTTGCGTTCACTCTTATATAAACAAATTCAATCCATAGCGACACCTAGTAACCGTATTTCATGTTGTCTGCAATTGTTATATGGTGTAAATTTAAGCAGACGATTTTTTGTGAATCGTTCGTCAGATGCTGACGTGCTGCATACTCCGATGGTACTGTTTACGTAATGCTAGCTAGGTATTGCACAAACCACTAAAGCGTACAGCGTTTTTTAGTGAATGATTTTTTAGTGAACCATGACTGTTGAATTGCCTTCACTTTTTCGGACATCCCAGGTATAAACATAACTAGTATCACTGTGTATATGGAGAAGATGATTATATAATATCATGTTTATACGTAGCAGTATTTTAGCTGCCAAGTACAAATCTTTATAAAGAACGTTAATGCGGAATAAAATGTGCAAAATCAATTCTATATAATACACACTAAGCGTACCTAGTCATAACAACCCAAAGAAATAACGTAATTTACAGTAGAACGGTTATATGCTCATTTATTTATTTTTTTTTATTTTAACACATATTTAAAACGGCGTACAGGGAACTAGCCAATTGAATTACCACTTTTTAACACAGCCATTGCGTGTACTTTAGGAACGCTGCCGAAATAGGAAAACCGGATAATAAATATAATAAATACACAATACTGCTACATTGTGATAGAAAAAGTATAACCCGCGTATACATAGCATTAACTATGACTTTTTAAATGAAGTCGAGGGCGTTTACTGGGAGAAGAGACATCTCGAGTGAGTGAAACTGAGGTTCGTTTCTCTCGTTTCTGATTGGAATCATTCTTGGTAGGTAAAGGCTCCTTAGTTAGACAGTGGAATCTTGTTGATTGCGTTGTTGTTAATCCCAAGGGAAAATTCCTGAAAGGGGATTGCATATGTGGTGTAAGATCCATCAAGCACCTCAAGACACTATCTAAGATAAAGAAAAAAAGTGAGGGATGCCTTTGAGTTGTTTGAGAGTTTTTCAAATAATAGTCTGGTTTGAATCTAAATAGAAATCAAATCGCCGCACATTTTGATGTGAGCCTGTAAGTAGCTAAAATCATATTGCAATAGGAGATAAAAAAAAATATAGATATATATGGAGTAATACTATTTTTTAAATATGCGTATCTGTTTTATGCTAGGTTTATCCACATAGCTCATAGCAGCAAAATTTAAACCTGCACGAGGTGACATTCGCTCTTAGGATCGCAATAATGACATGAGGCCGTGACAAAAGAGCGCGGAGTTCTTCCGAGGGTCTCCATATTGTTAGGGGTACCTCCACTTCGCTGGACACGCAGCGCACAAAAAGCTGAAAGAGTCGTCAGCTGCAGTTATCGTCAACAAGATGTTCGTTCTAATCCATTCGACATGAAAAAAAAGTATTTTTAGAAGCAAGAAGCCATAGGCAAATATTGGAATTTTCTCTGCAGTGTAAACGGCCTATACTAGCTAATAGTTAACGTTTGTCGGAAAGTAGTGTAAGTACATCATTCATTTGGTTAGCATGGATATGATACGTAGGTTCTCCATGCTATTTTAGAAAATATTAACCCAACTAGACATATATCGAAGTATTATAAACATTTTTCAACAGAGGACAGTAAACCGGTTAGTACCACGTATACCTTTAATTTTTTAATCGTAGTATTTGTACTAGAAAGTCTATCACTTCACTACAATATGCTCAATTTAACGAGAAGTAACAAAAAAATACCTTTAATAAAGACGCAACTTTTCGTTCAAGCGGGCATTCTTCCCGCTGGCGAAGCTCCTCCATTTTGCGACGAACAGCTTCTTCAATCCGAGCGCATTGATTTGCCTAAGTACAGCACCGTGAACGGACCAAATTCGTAAATTAGGCAAAATTTTACAAGTCGTACGTTGTTGTATAGAAACAATACACGTAAAAAAATTATTAACAAGAATCTGGATCAGAGAACATCTGCTGAAGGATATGAACAGACACGCAGAAGGATTCCCAAACCAGCTACGGGGCTATTTAGCAAGCCGGATCATAATCTTAGATGCCCCAAATGTAAAATCTAGGTAATTTTTGCTGCAGTAAGCCCTGATACTCTTGATCTTGAAGTAAATAACTAAACGTTAAAAGCAATCACCGAATATTAAACGATTTAAGAACTGCCATATTGCGAACGTAACAAGATTTGCGAAATATTTACTTTATATATCGGTACTCGAATGAAAAATAAAGACGATCGCGCGAACCAATAACTACCTGGACACAATCGTGGTAGCGCTCTAGCATACGCTTTTGCGATGAGCTTAAGGCCATCATTACTTGTGAAGGATCATGTGAGGCCTCTATAGCTTCATAGATCTCTTCACCTGGAACGAAAGTTCGCTTAGCCGTGTAAAGATTATCATTTTAAAATAAAATAAAATAGAAAGTTTTAGCTTAACCCAAGGAGCTTGACCATTATTGACTTTCTTAGTTGCGCGCCATCCATATGATCGAGCGTTTTAACCCTTAAAAAAACAACGTGTCTATTTGTGTAGACCCTTAATAGAACACTATGGCAAGACCTTTGGCTGTGTACTGAATATGCATAAGGCTGTATTTTTTTTTATCGTGAACTAGTAAGGCTATAGTGAAACTTTTCTGAGGCTGTGGATGTCGCAACTTCTCTTAATACACCAAACCGAAAAAAAAAGTTTTCTTTGTATCTCACCGGAGTTTAGCTTTGAAACGTTTTCTTTGTTGCGGGGACGTAACACTCGTTTCGAATGCCATTTCTCTGCCTCTATTTCCTTTCGAACTTGCTCCCGGACCTACGTATATATAAAACATTTCCTAAGATGCTCACGATTGAATGCTTTGCGAAGTGGCGCTACATACCTATATGAAAGACTATACAATGTCGAATTACCAGACCTCCCGAAACGTGTAGATATGATAGCTTTCTAAATTTACGTACTAGATACTTGTTTCTATAATAAATAGAAACCGGTTTAGTAATCAATGCAAAGTCCCGATTGGCTAGCAAACAACTGTTGTATGAAACGAGGGCTATTAAATATGTATAAATATAGATACTCTTATGAAAAGGGTAGGTTTGCTCGTCGTGGACATACCTTTTCTTGAATCTTGGCAATTTCGCCTTCAAATTTTCGGCGCTCCTTAACTTCGTCGGATTCTTTTCGTATGATGCTGCCTCCCTGAGCGAATTTCTCAAAATACATAAGACTTGAACATGACGTAACCTGTAGAAGTATTTTAAATTCAGTTCGCCCTCGTCTGGATGCTTGTTCTAAAGTAAACTGGTATAGTTTGATGTCTAAGACAGTTTGTTGGGCCTCAAATGTAAGTTATGTTAACACACGCTTTTTGGCAAAAACATAATTAAAAAAAGTTAATGAAGCACTCCATAGTAAAAAAAAAAGATTATTTAATCCACATCTTCGTCGTATGAATTCGGTTCGATAATTACTTACGCGAACTCTTATGAGGGGGAGAGATCCACCATTAGGTTGTGCCGACAATAGAGGCACAGCAAGCGTCTCCCTGCAGAAACCGAGCCGAGCATGCCATCGAGCCCGACGAGTCGAATTATAGTGGATTGCCAATCTGGGAACGTCACATTCAGTATTACTACTTGCAATATGACTTATGGCGCCTATGGTATAGCAATATGAGTGTTACTTCTTATTCAGGGTTCCTACGCCTTTGGCATCAAACGTCATACCTTGCTCCTTCGAGATGCAGTGGATCAACACCGTCTCGAGCACCACGTAAGGCCGCGCCGCTAACACACAGTTTGTGTCCTACGGCGATACCAGATCTTGAGCCCGCACGTGACAGCACTGTAGCTAAGGGGGGATCGATATCACACGGGATTGAGTACCTGCCCACACGTAGCACATATAAATAAAACAAACACTTGAAATGTGCGATCAAAAGGTTCCTGGAAGCCTTTTGGCTGTGACAGCCCAAAATAAACAAAGATTGCTTAATGATGAGCTTTAATTATACCAGGCATGTGATCTTAGTTTCTTTATAGTTATGCAAAAAAGTTTTGCTGAAAAAAGAACGTTTCTTCATGAGCCATTACTGAGTCCCAGAATAAACAGGTAAATTTTGGGAACTATGAAAATCAACCCACCATCCATCTGAGAGGACTAGCTCCGGAGAAATCTGCTTCACCAAAAGGACCATTGTTCTCTCTGAAGATTCATCACGTTCGACTGAAATGCCATCACATTCATCATTAAAATAAAGATTTAGATACATAGAGAGTAAGATGTTTTTAAACACACCTCTTTCGTCGAGCCCGCATTTTGACAAGCTAAGGGCTTGTTTAGGCTGCTAATGCTGCACAGTTGTTTGCAGGACCCACATCACACAAACGCCGCATAAAATCAGAAGTGAAATTGGGCCTATTTAAAACCTGAATAATATGTCTACCTATCATTTTGAGTGGGCTTCTATGGGTTCCTTGCACTTCAAGTTTCCACCTTTTTCGTAACTGCTCAAGAACGTTGTGCACAGTTAAACAACCAGTTAACTCACGAATTCGTCTACTATACGCAGACAGCTTCCACACCACCTGCATAACGACAGATTAATACAATGTCAAAACAGAATCGGTAGTCTATTGATAGTAGAAAAGTGCTTATGAGAAAAATTTTCCAGATACACATAATCGCATAAATTCCCTCGAACTGCAAATTACCAACTATACCAACGCTTACGTACCAGATACGCTAGAAAGTCATGTGAGCAAATATGACTTCTACCAGAACTAAAAATTCTATTGTTGCTAAGACAATGAAATGATATTTTCTTGAAAAAGTTGAGGTGAGAAGTGTTTGTTGTACTGCTATATAAAAAAAAAAGACTTAAAACAATTTTCCTTGTACCTGTTCAAAGTGATTTGCGAACCAGAGGTCAAAGTCATTTTTTGAAGACACATTGAGTGTTTGTAGAAACATCTTCTTTGATACGTTTAGGTCAATCTTTTTGCCCGACTCGTCGTCTTGGAACCTGCACAAGGTAACATCATATGTTGACAACACAATATCTACTGTCATATATTGACTGAACGGTCCATTTTAAGGAAGCGCAGAACATGACCACCCTGGCAGAGTTAAAAGACAAGAAATTTAGGAGTATACTGCACAATGCACGCTATTCTTTTCTAGTGACGCCCTGGCTAGCGTCCACTTCAGCGACCTAATGTCATTGAAATAGATTAGACTGCTTACCAATCGGCTCCTGCGTACGCAGGTGCTCTATCGATAAGCATCAATTCTCGGAGGGCATTTTTTACTGAGCTCTTCGACGACATGCCATCTGACGTACTTGCTGTTACACATGAATCAATTAGTGGCAAACCTTGACCCTACAATTTGAAAGATGACTCAGTTTCAATTATGTGTATTCAGAACCTTTAAATAAATGGAAATCACAAGTCTATCTTAGAGATATATTCTCTAGATAGGCGGAAATCTGTTCGTAGAAATTGTTATGACAAACAAGCTGGACAATGGACAGCTTAATATATGAAAGCTACTAGCTATAAAATAGCAATCGATTCCGTTGTTTTAACATATTATATTAATTCCTAGTAGATGTTGAGAATCATATGATCTCTATATGCGCCTTTATTGGAAACATGATGTCAGACCTTCGAATCCTGATATGATTTAGATTGGCAGAAGTCGTCTCCGCGAACTACAGGCTCTGGCGTGCTCTCAAGTGAAGTTCCAATCCAAGTTGATATTTGTGGAGTAGTAAACGAAGAGGGCTCATTCGACGCGGTAGGGCAGATTGCTGCGCTCCGTCGCTTTAAGCCTATATCACGCGTACATAATAAAGTTAGGTTAAGTCATGCCGTGATAAAAATTATGTGAGGGTGACAAATATATCGTACTTAAAGAGTGTTTTGAGTGCAGAGCGTATTATTCTAAAAGCAAGAGCATCTTACACAGACTATCACATATCTGATACATCACTCAGATGTGTAAAAATGATTCGTTTTTTCTTTTAACCTACTTTTAGTGTAAGAATCTTTTTGTTCAACTATCGAGTTTACTTAGATTCCATATAAAGTTTACTGACCATATAATGTTTGTTGAATTAATCATAATTAACTGCTAACCTGAAACACGTCTCACTGGCGTTTTTGATTTATTCACCCCTGCCGTAGACTTTGGCTCTTTTGTGTCAATGTCACTAAGTAATCTCATGCTACGCTCAACTGTGGCATCACTAACATGTTTCTCTGACGGTGTTGTAGGAACCAAAGATTTAGCCGCTGCTGAGACTGAAGGTTTAGATGAAACTGGTTCTTTTTCTAAGATATTGCGCGCAGTCTTCAAATGTTTCTCACTGGCTGTAACGTTTTTTCCAGTAGCTCTGAAAAAGTCTCGAGTACCAGAGGTGGCTGGCTCGAATATTTCGTTAGCCTTGACGTCACCATTTTGAATGTTAATTTCAAGCGATTCTTCTCGAAACATGCGCCGAGCGCCTTCAAGCGCGTTAGCTGACACCTTTAGAGCACTACCCTTGGCACTCACAAATCCAATGGGAATCGCCGGAATCTCATGCAACTTATTCGCTTGATCCCCTGCAAGCGATGTTACTTCATCCTTTCTGTCACTCAGCTCTAATGCGTGGTCAGGTACAGGAACTTGTGCAAGTTCTTTTTCAAACATCGCCCTCACTAATTCCAAATGCTTCGCGGATACTGGGACCGACTCACCGTTTGCTGTTTTAAAGCCTTCAAAAGTGCTTTTTACAAAAACGCTTTTTTTACCATCATGGCTTTGTCGTGGTAGGTCCTCTGTAAATACTTGACTGATTTTTGAGTTAGTGTGCAATTTGAAAGAATGGCGTCGATCGGCTGAATTTTCGATAGCGTCAAGTTGATATTTGCTTGACGCCCGCAAGGTTTCGGCAGAGATCCTAGAGCGACTTACAGGTACGGACCCACTGGATGCTTCCGTTGAATTTTGTTTATCGTTTAAACCGTCATCAGTTTCATCTTTAAGTATACCCTTTACAGCTGAAAGAGTTGTAGCGGATATGTACATAGCTTTACCGCCAGCTGTCTTGAAATCGCTAAGATCTTCAACGTTTGACGCCACCTTTTCTTTAGAAAGTGTCTTGGAAATTGCTGACGTACAAACTAAATGTTCCTGTTTGTTACCTCCATCTGGACGAATCTCCTGTTTAACCGTTGTTTCTCCCTGATGCACGGTCTTGGATGGTATGTGAAAGTCCTGGGTGTCAATGTTATTAAAGATATCATCGTCTTCCTCAGTATTCTTCACAGGCGCTAATGAGGGTAATGTTTTACCTGGAACAATAACGGACATCGCTGAAGGTCAGTACTGCAGAACAGTAACGGTTACCAAAGCATAACGTCAAGATAGCAGGGCCTAACATGCCTAACGTTCTCTAGGTTATCACTATCCAAAGGCCTGTATGGCTGGGTTCCAAGCTCACTTTTAGTTGAAGAACTGCATGGAGTAGGAGGGGCCTGAAAGGAGTCATCAAAGAGGTCATCCTCATTTTGGGGCTTTTGGAAGAATCTCTCGCCATCTTGTAATTCTTGTTTGCCTTGAAACTCCGTATCTGGATCACCTTTTACGAGAATAAGGAAAAACAAGCACATTTGAGTCTTATATTAAAGGTATATGTAAAATTGGATTGGTGTGTTATTTCGTCGATCAATTTTTGAGCATTTATTACTGAAAGAAAAATGCAGAAGTCAAGATTTTTAAAAACTAAGTATGGAGCACACTTTAGTTGAGAGCTTTGCGTTTTGGATCTGCCTCCTTTAGTAAACAATATATACTGATTGCGCAAAACGACTGCTATTTATTTGGGATAATGCGATATTAATTGAATTCTGTTACTAGATACGGACAAGTTACTAAAACTATAAGCTTGAGCAGTTTGTCAGCAATGACGCTTACTTCGTTGAATTTGTTCATTGTCACTCAGTGAAATAAATCGTAATTGATAATATTTTCCGCTAAACGTTCACACGTTAGTTATGCTTCACTTTATTACGAAAAAAATACATTATAGTTTTTTACAGAGTTGTATTAGGTAGTCGTTGGACTGAGATTATTATGGCAACAGTACACATCAAGTTTGTATCATGTTCAATCGGCGTAGATATTGACTTTTCACTTGAAGATAGTGCAACGATTAACAAAGTCTAGAACCCTTCCCGTGCGCATATATAATATACGAAACTTTTTTTTTATTACAAAGTATACCAATAATTGTCCGTGGAGACGTTTCGCGGGAGCGCGCGGTCATTTCAAACGTGTCCCCATGATGGTCATGGTTCTCGTCGCCCGCTGATGCTGACGAGTTGTCCTCAAACAAATTCACAACCTCTCGCACCACCACACGAAAAGGTGTCCGATCCGACATACCACTAAATTATTGAAAGCAAAACGGCTTAGTAGGAACTCTTTGCACGAAATTCCCTACCTACTTTATCCCATATAGGTGTACAAATTACTGACATTTCTAATGTGTTGGAATTCATGACAGCCACCTTTTCCTGGTATTTGCTGCCCTCTTTTGCTGTCGTTGAATAATGCGTAATATGTACACGAAGCCTTTACTCTGGATAACGAAATATTTTACAATGTCTCAAGCGAGCTCGGTCGCTTACATGACGGATAAGCCAATCATCTGCTCGATGGCAGCTTTGTTCCCGCCAAAAGCGGCTGCGCGGGAAAGTTCTGCAGAGCACCCGGAAACTTGATTGTGTTGCCCACATGCACTAACCAGGTTAAGAACAGCAGGTCTTCGCCATCTTATAAATATTTGCTGATACATAACACCATCAAGTCATCTATTACCTTTCAACCGGTTATGATAAAAAAACAACATTGTTCATATATAGAAATAATCAGCAAAACACAGATTTGCCCAACCTTGATTTTTATCCTGCTTTGAATAGCTTTGAAATCATATTAGCAACGTAATACCAAAGAAGCAGACGGTTAAAATGAGAATACTAAATGAAAACCTATACTTATGAGTTGTTGCCATAAAAAAAGATTAAATATCATACGTTATCTAGGGTATCGTGTACAGGCGATAAGACGCGTAATAAATGAGTGTCTCAAACCGTGTAAAAACATGCTTATCACCCTTTTAATTTATTGTTCCGTGCCACTCTGATTCGAGTGCTCCAGTTGTATTTGCTAGGCCATATCTCTCATATCAACCTATTGAAAAGAGAAAATGTTGTCTTCGTTGCGATAAAATCTATATGCAATGCTGTTGGAAACGATAACTTGCTAAAAGTCAGCGAAACCTTACAGAATCCTTTAGCAAAAGGGAAACGGACTTTTTATTAAAAAGCGATAATAAATTTGTATACGGTAAAAGCATATCTTTCTCTTAATTCTTTATTTAATTCATCGAAAATAACGCCGCCGATGGTTTGCGACTTGTTGCACATAAAACGCGAAGTGTTTCTCGGCGCAAAAGTTAAAATAATCATAGTTTATCGATAACTTATTACTTACAAAAATATATCATCTTGGTACCGAAAGCATAGCATGGTAGATATCCTACAATGCGAAACTAGCCATAGTAGCTACTCATTAAGACTCTCCCGAATCGCTCTTTTTGAGTAGATTTAAAGATAACGATATTGCAGTCAGAGTTTATGCTTATTGAATTTCTCATAAATTTTTACGGTGTTTAGCGCCTAATTCGCTTAACTCTAAAAATGAATTAAAATTATTATTATATAATTTTTTTTGCTACAGCTTAGATCTGTCAGCGTTGGTGCCATCATTAGAGAGGGGCCCTAGTAGAAAAGGGAATGAAATTTATCTTGATCTTATGTTTTTAATGTTTGCTAACATCCATTCAATTACTTTTTAATTTTTTTTTTTAGCAAGTCAGAGCTGCTAGGCAATAGCCCGGCATTTCCGAAGTACCATACTATTTTTGGAATCATCATTAAAATTTCCATAATATGCTATCCATAAATGTTTAACGTTTAAGACGACATATCACAAAAATGCTTTCGAAATTATAAATGTAATTTAAAATGCTTGTAGCGTAGACGTATGCCAGCTGGTGGCATAGGCTACAACTACACTTATAATTTGCAGATTAAGAAATAAGTATAGATTGGGGATATCCTATTATGTCGGCGTCTGATAAGAGATAGATATTCCAAAGGTCACTGACTAAAGTTCGGAAACTTTTGTTTCATAAAACTTGTCAACTAAGCCCAGCGCTATATAAGCAATAATAACTTTCAAGGCACAAAATAATCGTTTAAAACTTATATCCCTCCACAACAGGCAGTTCAAAAAGGAACATTGCTTGAAGTATTTCAGTTTGATGCACTTGCTACGATCCATCTCCTGCCAACAAGATAGCCTCTAGAAAAGAAGTCTCGCACTGAGGTGGAAAAGTGTGATGTTCATTGTTATCTGCTTTTTTGTTTACAAATGCTCACGACAAAATATTTTTATCTCTTTCTGTCTATACAATTTTAAATCTTTTTTTTTTTGGTATTTTGCAGGTGTCTGATCTGTTTACGCTATGGCTATAACCGTTTTTGGTCCTCCTGAGGATCGTTCACTTTCGAACCTGGTAAAAAAGCTTTCCAAGTGTTGTGATATAAAAAAAATCATAAGGAGTTATCAACGATAAAAAAGAAGCTATTCTAGAATTGAATTGTGTCAGTGTTCGTCTGAACACATTACGTTGTTTAGGATGCGCTTTTTGAGTAAACGAATTTTTCTCCTTATACTTCCGCATTCGTTCCAGGAGAGATTTTCGTATTTGTGCCAGTCAACACCGCACGGCAGTGTCGTCAGCGTTTCCGCTCTTGTTTCGAAATTATTCGGTGCATGCGGTTCTTGAGCAAAAATAAGGTCGCAAACAGTGTTCATTTCAGTCTCTATACTTAACAAATAACCTACCATTGTTTATTAAATAGCCAATGATATAACTAGTAATGTCTGAATAGTCTGCTGTTCGAAACGAATTGTTATCGAATATCTATACATAAGAACACTTGGTAACTATCGGTGTTATACAACAAAATTTACGTTTATTCGACACCGTTAATTTCCTCATCTTTGCATCTTGTTTACCTCTATTCGAAGATGTCCCTATTATCGAGAGTCGTTTAGCAAACATTATGGTTCTTGTATCTTTCCATACACGACAATTCCGTCTTGTACCGTCGGTTGAACATAGGTACTAGTTGAATCTAGGAACACAAAATGAATGCAAACCCTCACAAGCAATCCCATTTACAGACTCCGTGTTGTTTTTTTCTCAATGTTTATTCACTATGGTCATAAATTTCAGAAGAGTCTCCGCTGCTGACATCGGCATGCATCTGTGTATGAGTCACCATAGGAAATGAACTCTTGTGCTCTCTACACGAATTTGTTACTGTCCTGTTAGCTGGATTCGTCGGATAGCCTTCAGACGTAACAATGACTTTTATAAGCAACATAAAATTTTTAAAGAATCCTCACTGGCTAAAGGGATTACTGTGCCATTATAATGTTTGGCGGGTACATGTATAGAAATCGTTCGCTCTATCTAATTCTACCGGCTACAACGTTTAGAACTACAGGGATCACTCGATAAATGCGTGTATGCATAAGTAACATATTCCATCGTCCACTTTCTCTGAGAGTCAGTTAACTACAGTGGAATGAACTTAAGAACAAATGGTAACTTCGATAGGAGAAACGAATATTGTCACGTTGTGGGTTGTTATTTTGTTTATTTGTCCTTTGTCCGTCATCGTGCGGCTGTGCTTCATTTTTCTCGTTGTTGATTTAAATATCGTTTGAATATCGTGAGACACTTCATGGCACTGAGTTACGCCTTATCTGCAAATAATGGTCATTTCTTGGTTGTTACCTCTATGGATGTACTAATAGCAGTAAAGCACCTTTCTTTTCCGGGTATACTCTTGTGTGACCATTCCGTATCGGTAAGGCGCAAGGGATGACTGGTGGCGATCATCGTTACAAATGGTATGGTGTGTCAAAACGTTACTGAATATAACTGTCCTCTCGATGGCTCTCTTTCATTTACTTCTTTACCGACGGGTCATCATATAGACATCTATAGAAATGTTGCTGAAACCCACAAATATGTCACCTAATTTCTATTACGTATCATTATTGTTTGTTCTGTTATGTCGAATCTCGCTTGGCGAGTTAGCCTATTTTCGAATAGTGTCGTTTTGCCATTTGCGAAGAGCTTACCACAAAGATGACATTTATAGCAGAGCAGTACATATATAGCGTTCGGTTAGTTTTATCGTCTCTCTGTTCATTACATATAATAATCATATACGTGCTGGGTATGTATATGCCAAAGCTGTCACTCAGCTCTGTATACTTATAATTAGTAGTCTTCATATACTCTCCTATGCATTTGTTGTCCTTCGCGCGAAATCGACAAATCACACTTCCTTAGTGAAAGCGATTTCATCTCTATCTCATGTCACCTGTATGAATGCATTAGCAATTGTTGCGGAAATACGCATTTGTTACAACTATCTTATCGGTCATACACCGGCAATTTTCGCTTCTACGTCCCGTTAATGGGCGCTCCTAGAAAGCGGGCCAGCTTTTCGTTCTTTTCTGTCGTTCTCTTGCTCTGCGTCGTCGTGTTCTTATCCCATTATCTTTCATATTTTTTCTTCTTCTTCGTATTCAGAGTAATGTAGCGCAATAAATACGCGATGCATGCACTCTTTTTCAAGTCTGAACTGAAGGCATGCATATCAGCTATTATTATGATTATTATTAGAAGCTCAATTGCAATGGTCGCATGTATTTGATGGTGAAGTGGCGACTCGTTCAGGCACGTCGCTATAACGTCGGTGACGACTCCCATACGGCTTCAACAACTGACTAACGGATGAAAAGCCGCTAAAGATTACATTTCTATGCGATGTTTGCGCATATATCAGCTGCCTAAGCGATAATGCTACCGCTTATTGGACCCCCCCTTTGTTTTATTGAGCTTCTGTACAACGCTTAGAATGGACAAAAGTAAATTTTTCCGCTCTAACAATAGTTTTCTTGAAAGTTGCTCCAGCTATCTAGTTAGCAAAGGGGTAGATTTAGAAGCACAAAGAAGGGAGACTGGGTAGAGAAAAAGTGTGATTTTGTTCCTGGATAAAAGGGGCACACCTTTTATTTTTTATGTTGACCACCCGTTCTTAGCTACGAGTTATGAAATGAAACTGTCCGTAATACCCATGTGAATGTTTAACGTCCGCTCATCGCAGTCAGAAGGTTCCGTCTCAGTCGACTGGAAGCCCCCAGAGAGAGGCTGTTTTATCGGCCGACGTAGTGACAAACGTAAAATCGGTGGGATGCCAGCGAGCTTGAATCACTTTGTCCGGGTGCTCTGCCACAACGATTGAGGGCAGTGGCTGTGTCAGATCTCCCTGTAGGTCACTGAGCACACAGCGGCCGTCGTAGGAGGCGGTCAACAAGTAGTAGGCCTTGGGTGAAAATCGCACCGAGCGAATGTCTTGCGAATGAGGCCGGAAGCACTGTATCACTCGGCCACCGCGAATATCGAACAGCATACACGTTGCGTCCTCGTGGCCAGAGACAAGCATTCGACCTGATAAAATTACAAAAAAAAAGTCGGACATTAAGTGAAATGCTGTTATTACTTTGTTCTCGGCAATAACGACTTTTAAACCTATGGTATGATGCCATACGCATCTTATATAATGACAGTGGGTACGGATGGTTATAATCTGTAACAGAGTAACTCTACTTGAATGCGCTTATACAGTAATAATGCCTTTCATTATTATTATTATACAACACAAACTCTAATAATATACAATAATGAGAAAATATGTTGTCCTGTTCCGCGACGTCTATTAAAAAGTATGCCATGTATTTGCGGACGATAGACATGCTATTTGTACGAAGAATTCCTGTTCACCTGAAGGATCTACAGAGACACTGGCCACAGGACTTCCTGGACCTGAGCCGTGAGCGGGCGGTGCTGTTACCAGGTTGGTACAGCCTCGTATGCGTAGATCCCAGAAACGGATGGTGCGATCTTGAGATCCCGAAACAAACATGGCTCCTCCCCATGTGTACAGCGACAGGATGTGACCTGGTAATTGTAAAATTGTCAACATAAAAACACATTATCATGCAAATAGCACAATTAGTTCTCGAACATGGTAAGATAACACCTTTTCTTGTGGTGGACACCAGCAGTTTCATAGCGGCTTATTTACAAGAATATAGATTTGTTTGAGCATGAGCGACGTGGGGCTGGTTACTGGAAAAACGCTGGGCGTTATTCAGTCGCCACTGTGTACCGATCGGATTGCTTCAACCATTAAATATCTTTCACGAGCAATATATTTTTACCTCGTGGCCAACATACTTCGCACTCGTTTGCATTCGTTGCTTATTATCTATCAACCATCACATACACACGAATAAGGTTCCCTAGGTACATAAACCATTGTCATCATCGGAACGATACCGATTTATTCTCCTGCTGCTATTTTAGATATTTTATCCCACCCACGCCTCCCTTCTTTCATGGCTGACAGTTTTTACCTAGATGAGAACAAATAAACTTTGTTCTGTCGAGTTTGTTTTACCACAGAATCGCTTATTTCATTAGCAGTTATTTTCTAAATAGACATATGCACATAGGACGTATACACATAGAGGGCCGCACACAGTAATTCAGACGTAGATAGTTCAGCTTATGGCGTTCTCATGAAGTTGTTCTGCACCTGTTCATTTCCCGCCGCCAATCGGCCAATTCGTCTGCTTGGTCGTATCGTGAATGATGCGCAATTTTCGCGCTAAAGCTCCGCTCGTAGCGAAGTGTGGTGGCTATTACCTCTGGTCATCCGCAGCACCCTTTACCGCGTCTGTGATGTTTGTAACCAGAGTTAGTCAGAGTTTCTTTTGGCGTCGACTTCTGCCGACCTTGAGGCGCTATTACGAAGGTGTCGAGGCAGACGGCAGCTGAAGGCATTTCGGTAAATGCAAGAACAAAACGTTCAAAGGCCAGGTAACAGGAGCATAACTGACGGCTCTGTGCATTCTGGCGTCGTTCATAAAGTAGATGCTCTATCTCTTGCTAGTTTTACTCATCACGCATATAATGCCAACAGAAAGTATATTAAAAAACAGGTCACATGCACTTATAAAAAGGAAACTATGTAAGATCAAAAATCGAAGTAAAAATCATTTTCAAGCTAATTACTGTGGCAGTTATATGAAGACACTAAGTGTCGTTCAAATATTGCACATCTATAAATTTCTGTTCTAAGAAAAAGATTGAGGGTGGCGTGTGCGTATAAGCTGAAAATCCTCATGCACTGCACGAGATACGGGACATAAGGCTACCTATATGGTACATACATGATGTTACCCTTTATGAACGTACCAGAGTGCCCACTAAGTGATTGGAATGGAATAGCTGTTTCGCAATCAGTAATGTAAATTTTGTTATCCCCGGCACCACCGGAGATCAGTAGAGAACTGCGATTAGTCAGGTCTTCCACAAAACACAGGTCACGCACAGTCCCGTCATGCATTGTCATTTCTGCTTCCCCGCCGTGGTCCAAGGTGCAGTCATGTTCATTGAAGCGGATCAGTTTCACCTAGATAAATCCGAAATCATGATGACGCTCAATATGGCTCGTGTAAATCAAGTTGATTGCTAAATAATGCAGCGGCAGGGCTACTGATAAGATGAAACGAACAGTCGATAAGAAGAATAACTGTATGATTTGATTTTGTAATTCTCCTATAAAGAAAAAGTCCAAAACATCCCCGCTGAGCGGTGTACTAGACTGCTAATTCCGCTAAAATTCGAAATGTGTTTCTGTTTGTGTTGCTAATGAATTTCCTATATCAGATATATACGGTCTTGTCGTTGGATCCAGTCGCCATCAGCTCTCCGGTCTGATTCCACGCGAGACAATAGATCGAGCCCTTATGATGCTTCAGACGTTTATGAGGCACCGATGGCTGCGTGGCCAAGTGATTCTCCCTGCAAATAGAAACGAGGAGGCGATGAATTCATGTATTAAAAAACACTAGCACATCTCCATAATATTGTTAGCGCAAAATATTTCTCGACTGAAGGTTGACCGGTTCAAAAGTTCGCTTACTGCTCTAAAATTATAGCTACTTTAGTAGATAACTTCGTCTATCAAAACTATATTATATTATCTTGGACAGCTTACAATGAAGCCTCTAGAACTCAAGATGCACATACCTAAGTCATGCTTCGGCTGCCTGCACATCGCTGCGACATCAATCAGTCTGCTATGCGGGTTCACAATAGAAAACGCTATAGCGGGTATATTTCAGGGCTAAAACATTTTTGTTTGTACGTTGTTTGGTCTTTTTATTGGCTCATAATGGTACCAAGGCTTTTACAAGACATAGACCCATCTGATGGACACGAGTAAATGAACATTTAACTAGTTTCGTACAGTACAAGAGGTCGTCATGAAGAGTTCCAATTTTTTCTAGATTTACCTGAGGTCATCCATTTGAGGATATGCGCATATCCGAAGCGTCTTCGAATTGCTCCCAACGGCGTAATATTTACCCGACGGATGAAAATCAACTGCACGGACCACCTGAGCATCTTCGAGCGTTGTGACCGGAATAAACTGGGCGCGCTCATCAGCACCAGAATCCCGAGGTTCGTGCCGAATGTGGTTGCCTGAGCTGCCACTCTGGTTCGAAGGATACTGAAATATATTGGCTTATGATTGTCTGACTGAAATGTAGCAGATTCAACTGCAGTGAGAATAAAAGTTTCAACAATCGTATTGGTTTTTTCATTATCACCCTGCACAATTATTATTTTTGTAAATTACTATATCAACACAACAACAGTGTCTTACCTAGAGGAAAACATCTAGGCATACTGCGTTCATATAGATCACAATGTTCCTCTAAGGGGCCCTTCCAAACATCTGCCTCCGACTTGTGATAGATATCCTAGTGTTAATGACAGGTCTCATGCAGTTAATACGCTGCTTAATTAACATATAAATGTAGTAGGAGCTTAATGTTTTAAACTTATCAATACGTAACTCTGGCTATGATTACGGGACGTTCTAGAAAAAAACAAATGCTCCACGAGAGGATACAGTTCATGTTTATTGTCGACAACTACCTCAGTAGTTCGTGAAGTAGTTGCCGGATGACACACCTTTACGAAGCATCGCCTCGTCTTGCCAGATGTTTTAAGATAACAGTAATCGTTCGTCGTGGTACCGACAAACGTGCACAACAATGGCAACATGGAAAACAATGACATATATCTGACTCGTGGCTGTCACAATAATAATAGAATTCATGGCGGGCGTCAGCGTCAGATTAACACATATGTGTTTTCATTCATCCCTAGACTTCTGTTATTTTCTGTGGCTGACCCGTTCATTTTTGTTGTGACGTCCACCGGCCGAACGTTGAAGGTCACAAAAATACATATCATTATCACTATTCTGCTTGTTAATAGATTGGTTGCTAGAGAAATAAGTTAAAAGGTTTTAAATCAGCTACCGGCAAAATTTAGAAGTCATCGTATTGACTGACGGATCACAGGGTCCTATTGTACCTGGCGTGACAGTCGACACGATCGAGCGTATACATGGCACCTAGAATAATTACACAAAACGCGACGATGACAAACTGGCACCAACGCTATTATTATAAGCCGCAACAACAACATTATCGATCAACAACAGCAGTCGTTAAGCCATATGACACTCGCTCAAATTGACTGGCTTTCACATACGTTCCTCGCGTCAATCCCTCTTGACGATTCACGATACTGATGTCGGCTGTTGACGCTACTTCGCAATGGGTCGCTTTTGATCGAGGACGATTGTTCCGGTTTGATTACAACACTGCCTGCTGGCGATCAATTTGCTACTGAAGGCAGGACCATCAGAATACATGTATACACTGTGTGTCCTGCTGTAATGTTCCTGCGGTCAAGAACGGGGTAGTAGAAGGGGCATGGTAATCCTCTTGCTACTAGAACTTGTGTTAGTCCCCATGCTATGTGTGAGATTAGGCGAGCAATAGACATCGTGCTTTAATAGTAGGACTGCGATTATACTGTAGCCACCTAAGCACATACGGTAGGATCAGTGCTCACACTATTCTACCCCTCCCCCCCTCCCCCCGCAAAAACCTTTTTTGTCCATTACGTTAACACAGCTCCCACTAATCGTTGTTGTAATTATAGTAAAAACAGGCATTATTATAATAACTCGTTGAACAAGAAGACTAGCACATCTTTCCAAATATTATAATAGTGTGGGTCTCAATCAAGAAGTTTACTCGAGGTACTCCGTTGTTTTGGCGGTCATATTTGAGCGGTCACTTTAAAGTTTACGACAATTTCGATTAGCTTGTGGCTATAGTTTGGCGCCTTTCTCTTTCGAATCTATAGCAATAACGTCAGCTAACTCGTTGTAATATATTTTCAGTAAAACGGCCAACCCAACTTAAAATTGGAGTAGATAATTAATATAATAATAATACATTTTTAATTTTGCGAAATAATTGTTCAGCTTATATTCAAGTTGTGCTATGATTTTGTTAGTCCTACGTGCATAATACTAAGAGGCATATCTTAAAAAGTTTACTCATTTGCTGGATTCAACTCAATCGAAATATTCCCGCGCCAAGTCAAGGATGGTACATGCGATGTACATAATTAATACCATCTGCTGATGGGATTTTTGCTCAGGCAGCCGGCAAACAGCCGCCTTAATGGGAACGGTCCTCAATAGATGTATTTATGGTACATGTACTGATTTTGGGACGAATTATCATCTAGTTATAGAACAAAAGGCGCGAAACTTTCCCGCAGCGTTCTACGACAGGCAAGATATTACTAAAACACGTGGTAAGCGGTTTTCAGCTGGAACTAATAAGCCCAAGTTGCCTCGGTCTTGGCCCATCTAGTGAGATCACCTTATCTTATAGGTCGATGATCATGTTTGACAGTCAAGTAAATACTATCCATAAGATGCTGTCTAATGTGTTTCTCTCCCTTTCGGCTTGCACTATGCCTTAGACATCACATGAGAATCTCGCAGTGTACCGTGTAGCAAACCGTCTTTTTTAAAAGCGCACACCTACAGCAGTTCGAAATGCGTCCATTCAAATAAATAGGCCAACCGGTAAATAGGCCTGTTCGCTTTTTACGAACTACGAGGCAGAAAATATCGCAAAAAAGGTACATTTCAATCGCATGCCTTGAGAAGAACTATTTTGGCTTTTACTCACAACTAGTTATATCTGAATTTGCTTTATCCTGCTGATGGGCAATATAGACACAAATATCTTGTAAAGGACTACGGACACCAAGTCAATAAGGTTACTTAAACTTAAGCCTACAGACAAATTTTTGCACAAGCTACGATGATTGCATTAAAAAATAGGACCTGTGGAGAATTAATGGCAGTTCGCACGACTTATAAGCTTCAATTATCCTAAACGAAGGCACTTGGAAACCGATATATCAGAAGTAGTAATATTCACTAGGCATTTGAACAATTTTATTAAGACGAGCAAATCCCCACAAAGCGCTGTTCATGATTCATTATATTTTCAAGAGAAGAAAATGGTATCGTAGATAGTTTTCGGATATGCATTAGGATATACGTTTTAATCTAGCTACTGCTCTAAATGATCGCCAAAAATGAGAGCGGATTTTCAAAACGGAAACGAACATTAAGAGGTATTTCTCCAAAATTGTTCACAAAAAACATTTACTAAAAGCTCAATCGGATCCGATATCATTCAGTTAGCAACCTAACTTCATACGGTTCAAGGAAAATAGCCCACAATAATAACCCATTTTGGTGACACAAAGAAGGAGCTTGGCAACTTGCAGTCACCCGATTTCACTCAGGTCTATGTTGAACGTTACAGCGACTTCATTGGTTTGATTATCTGATAGGGTTGTAACCTACTGTAAGACAATGGCCTATTTTGTTCTGGTCAAATCATTAAAGGCCGATAAATAGGTCTAGTATATATCATTAAATACATTAACATCATGCCTATGTGACTGCGTGGAAATCACAGCAAATTTTTTCTGATTGCTATCTAACTTAAGAATGACTATTGTTGGGAGATAATCATTTTTGAATTATCTAGAATAGACAGAAAAGGCAATAGTGCAACAACTGAAATGTCTCCTTCATTATTAAGCTAGCTCGCTAATGACTATACATTACTAATGTGCAGTTACCAGCGTCTGAAGAGCTCTTCTTCTTTTGGACGGATCCTCGGCAATACCTCGCGGTATCAGCCGAAAGCCCAATTGGGCGTATGAAGGATAGGCAAAACGACTCATCTGGTCTGATACTCCACGTTCAGCTGTAACGTATTTCCTAAAGTGCGATGATAAAGGGACGATTTCTCTTGAAGGGTTTATCTGTGTTCATTTATACACAGGCAGCAAACCTCAATGCCTTGCAGTTCCGGCGTTCCGAAGGAGTTTTCAGCACTTGCTACAAGAAGCTACCATATACATGTCGCCACCCCCCACAGGTGTCACAGTTCACAATCACTGGTCATATCAGAGTGAGAAATCATCTGCAATTGAATTGCAGTCGTTTGATACATACACATTACCAAATATGTGATCGCAATCCAACGGAACCAAAGGCCTCAAACGGTTCTGGTGATAGGAAGTAGAAGCAGACCTGACAGCGACAGAGTTCGTCACCTGCTTTATATGACTCGCCAACGGCACCGCACCGTTCTCCGCCTCTTTCTCCAAAACGTTTTTTGAGTCTAGAAACGTTTCTGTTGCTACTGTAACCTGTGCCGTTACTGTTGCTGCTATAGACGATTATGATATGCTGATAATGTTTAGCGCATATTCTTACTGCTGGTACAGCATTATCGACGGCTGTGTTGCCGTCACTGACTATCGCTTGCTGGATACTGCCTCTGCGGCTCTAATGCAGTTTCTGTTTTAACAAAAGTTCGTTTAAACTCAAATGTACAGCAGAGGTCGCGGAAGGTGCGTGCCCGGTGCGCGGACGCGTTTCTAACGGCGGTCAGCAAGTAGCGACCGCCTGCGACTTTAAGCCGCTGGCCTTTTGATTCAGCTGTTGTTTGCTGCCGCTCCTGCTGCTGCTGCTGCTGCTGTTTGCTGCGTTGAAAGCTCAGCTGTTGGCAGGCCCGGTGAGCAAGCGGCCGACGAAATGGTGGACAACGCCATCTGGGCGATTGACAGGAACAAGTTCTAGTTGTTAAATAAAAACGATCGTAACTGCTGCTAAGGTTACGGCGGCGATGACAACAGCGGTGATGCTGGTAAACCGAGGGCGATGGGTCAATTCGCGCGCACCTGTCGGGTCAGTCAGTGCTTCGCATCCGTCTGGCCACCCATGCTGGTGGTGAAGAATTATCACCACAGAAAATTTACCCATAAACACTGGTGCATTTTCACCGGCTCGTGCGAAATCGTCGGAGTCGTCCGCATTTTCGTACACGCTCCTTTCAGATATATCACCATCATCAGCACATACGCAATAGAAGCAACCAATGATTAATATAGCCAGCCCGGCTAGTATTGTGCTGAATATACCAATAATAGGGGTCACACCATACTCTTTGACATCGCTATATGACCACAAGAGATCAAGTAGCAGCGGTAGAAATAAAACTACACAAGCGGACGGCCCCTTTGTTGATAATATCGGTTAGT